TCTCTCTCTCTCTCTCTCTGCCTTCCTGCCTCCCGCTTGCCTCCCTTACAATAAAGATCTCCTGCCAGACCTCTCGGTGCGTGAGTGGGAGGGGGCGCCCGAAGGGGCACGCGAGACCCCTTTCACAAGGTATATGAGGTTACCAGCATTGTAAATTGCTTTTCAAATTCAGGCACACAAGAAATAAATTTAAATTATCTTGAATTTTTAATTTGCCTAGTTTCACATATATAAGGTGAGAACAGAAGGATGGCATAAAAGAAATGAAGTTTCAAATTTAGATTGTTTTTAAGGCTTCTTCCTACCTGGTTCACCATCGCTTCAGTAACATCTATGTTTGGTTTCTGTCCAAAGGGAACTGTCAAGGGGTATAGATTCGTCCAAAATCTGCCCCACATATCACCTATATTAAAAAAGAATGCATTAATAAAATTACAAAACAGCAGAAATACAGACAGAACTTTACACAGTGTATGAGATTGGATTGGTCCCCAAACCATATAGTATTTCCAAACAGTCTAGTTCCTGTGCTTCACTTTTGCTACATTTTTAACCTTCTTGCTTTCTCTTATTTTAAATTGCCAAAATTTCCTTCTATCTCCTCTAAAAGAGTAAAATAATAATACATTATCTGGCTAGGCATAGCTTATTGGGGAATAACCCTAATATCTTCTCCCTTGAATCATGTATTCAAGGGCATAATTTATTTAATATATGGAACATCATAGCTACTACAGATAAAGATTTATTTATATAAATCTCCATTCGTGGGACAAACTATTACAAATTAAACTGTTAATGATGCCCCATATTGAATTCAAAAGAAATTATATAATATCATAATTCAAAAATATCTACTAAATAGCCAGGTGCAGTCTTGCACACCTGTAATTAAGCACTCTGGGAGGCTAAGGCAGGAGAATAGCAAGGTCAAGCTCACCCTGGGCAACTTAATGACTAGTGAGGCCCTGTCTCCAAGTTCAAAAACTAAAAATAGATCTTTTTAGCTGTGAGAAGACCTTAGGTTTAATTCCCAGGATAGTGAACCCTCAAGTTACAACTGGCCTGACATATGAGCAACTTGGGTTATGACTAGAATCTTAGTTTTAACTTATAACCAAAGTCTTGAGTTATGACCTGAATACTGGGCACTTTTGCTTCCAGATGGTCCCAGATACAGATTTAACCCTTAAAGAACTCTGGAAGGAACATGACAACATCCTTTCCTGTGTGGGGTTAGCTGAGAAATCCTAGGCCAGTGTCTCTCTAAGGACACTGAGATCTGCCTGCATACAGAAGAGAGACTTTGAAGGCTGTGTAGAGGAGCCTGAGCCTTCAATTGACCAACTTGAGTTACAACCAGCCTTCAGAAATGAATTGAGTTCATAAGTCAAGGGTCCACAAAGAGAAAATATTTCCACTGATTATTAACTAAGTTCACTTTATTACTATAGCAAGGCACTTAACCAAGTGACTTTTCAGGTATCTCCAACAGTGTGAAGTTGAATTATAAGAACAGAGACCTGAGAGTGAAAATGAATGTAGAAAAATTCAATATAATAGCAAGAGCAGAATACTGGCACCAAAGAAATGGGACAAAACAGCTGCATGAAGACTGCTCCCACGAATTCATTTTAAAAGATAAAATGTGAAGTCCTATACTTAACTTTTAAAGAAAAACTCATGTACCATAGAAATATAAATATGTGACATCAGCCTGAAGCATAGCCCACAGTAAAATACCAAAAATGACCCAACAGACAGAATGACGTGGCATCTAAAACACAAATATGATCTCCAACTAAATTGATAGAAATAGGGTGTCTAAACAAAGGCAAGCACAGTACCACTTTTTTCTCTCAGTTGGTCAAATCTCATCTAGAGTGATGTGGACAAAGTAGCTCATGCAAAAGACAGCAGTTAGAAAAGTGAGCTTTGAGGAATGGTTGAAACTCTGAGTGGGATATTTAATTTGGAAAAAAAACAGTGCATATACGCTGATAATAATAATAGCCACTGAAATATATTGAGTACTTACTCTTGTGGCAGGTACTGTGCTGTGTCTTACATGACAGTTGCCTATACATAAAGCATTTGCATATCCTGGGTAACCACATAGCATGGAACTAGTAGTTAGGATTGGAAAGCATTGAGGTCCGTTGGTTCAGTTCTACATATGGTAGTCTTCTTATAATTGGTACCATATAGCATTATGTTAGTAAATCTTAGAGGGAAGAAAGAACCCTATCACAGTAGACATGATGGGGGAGAGCCTAAATTATTGACTGATGACTTCCAAGGATGTGTATGTAGAGAGATTTTTTTTTTTTTTTGTATCAGGGATGAAACTTGGATCCCTGCACTTGCAGGTGGCAGAACCACTGAGCTAAATCCCAGGACCTATATTTCTTCAGTATTAAAAGTTATCCATTTTCCTTTATCCATTTTCTTTTCTGCTGACGGATATGAGGTTTGGCTTTGTAGAGTTACCTATTGGAAAACTTATTTGACTGTAGAATGGAAATGATGTATGGCATGAAATTTTCAAACATTTCTATTGTATTTGGCCTTGGCTGCTGGAGTGAGAGAGAGGAGGATGGCCTCTGCATTTATTACTCTTATGACTCCTAACCAAGTAGTTTTCAGCAAGGCTTACTGGTGAAATCTAGGTTGAACGCATGAAGCTTTCATGCAGACCATATCTGAATTCTAGAAAGATTTACATTGACCCCTGAGCTCTTCCATCTTACTAAGTTTCTTTCCTTCAAGAATATGATGCTAAAATCCCAAATTCCACCTTAAGACCTTAGTCAACCAGTTTGAACACTAAAAACTATTTTACTCATTTCCACTCTCATTTTAACCTGGAATTCTTTCTCTAGTGATCTTAACCCCTTTACCCCTTTGAGTGTAGCCAATGTAATAACTCTTCTGTATAATAAATAATAATGTAATAGAGAATGATTTAAACTGGAGCCTCTGCTGAAGAAAATGCTTTCAAATTGTGACTTCTATGGCGTTACTACCTTCATTTATGGAGTTTTCAAAATTTTTATGATTGGCCTCACTCCAAAAGAAAATTTTACTCATGGAAATAATTGAAATGACAAAGAACACAAGGGATTTCTGAGGTTTCTTACCAAGCAAATGAGCAGGGAGGCATCCAATTGGACTGAGTCGGGAAGGGTAGTCATTCATCAACTTTGTTCTCACATAGGCATGGAGTTGTTCATATAATGGTTTAATCTAAAAGCCCAAGAAGAAAGTTTAAGACCAAGAGTGGCCAACTCCTTTTTCTGGTCCCCACCACTAGACATAAGAAATTCTTTATACAAATAGAATTTCCTTAAATTACTTCTTCTCCTCTCAAGTATTCTGGAGAATTTAAAAGCCATCCTTCTTCATAGATATGGATAACGACTAGCACCACTCTATGAAACAGTAGAAACGTCTGTAGGACTGACTACAGGTCCCTATTGGAGGACTACAGGTCCCAAAGAAAAGCAGAGGCCAAGACAATATTTTAAAGATGTTATCTACTCCTTTGTCTTTAAATTGAAGTATAATTTACATACTGCAAAGTTCACTCATCTTTAAGTGGACAGATTCATAAATGTCAACGAACTAAAGTTGTTGGGAAACTATCATCATCGTCCCCTCAAAATATCTGTATACCTATTTGCAGCCAATGCCATGCTCACCTCCAGCCCCAGGTAATCACTGAACTGATTCCTATCTCTATACTTTTGCCCATTATGGAATTATATAATATGTGATCTTTTGTATCTGGCTCCCTTTACTTAGAATGTTTTCTAGGTTCATCCATATTGTAGCAGACATCAGTAGTCCATTGAATTTTGTTACTGAGTACTATTCCATTGTATGAATGTATCAGAGTCAGTTTATCTATTCACCAGTTGAAGGGTACTAGGTTGTTCCAGTTTAGCACATTATGAACAATACTGCCCTGAACACTGGTGTATGTGTCTTTCTTTGAGCACATACTTTCATTTATCGCTTGTAGACAGTTAAGAGTACAATCGCTGAATCATACGATTTGTGTGTATTTAACTTTTGAATAAATCGTCAAACTGCTTGCCAAAGTGACTGCATGATTTCACTTTTTTTCAGTACTGGGGATCAAACCCAAGGGTGTTCTACCACTGAGCTGCATCCTCAGCCCTTTATATTTGTTAAAAATTTTAGGATAAGGCGGGATCAAACTTGGGATCCTCCTGCTTCATCCTCCCAAGGAGTTGACCTTATAGGCATGTGCCCCCATCCCGAGCACCATTTTACATCTTTGCCAGAAGTGTATAGGAAGGCTGCAGCATGCCCACATGTCCCAACACTTGGTATGGTCAGTCTTTTTGCCATAGCCATTCCGGTGGGTGCATACTGGATTTTCATCACAGTTTGAATTTTGTTTGCCTAATAACATCTCCCTTGCTTATTTGCCATTTGTGAAATTTCTTTGATGGTACACTAGGTCAGATCTTTGGCCCATATCCCTAAGATACCTCTAGTCATGAAACTCTCTCTTCCTTATAAAAACGTCTGTAGTCGAAAGCTAATGAAATAATAGCCTCAATTGTACTGAAGAAAGAAGCAAAGTCTATGGCTCTGCTAACAAAAGAAGACAGAGCCATCCCCAGGATGCTCACTAAAACCATTCCTTATTCTGATCTAAACTACCATTTCTTCCTGTAAGCTTTCCTTCTTATACTCTTTCTATTGGTAATGACTGGTCGGTGACTGCAAGGGGAGGGATACAGAGCAATTCTGATCACTTGCCGTATTATTCTAAGAAATCTTTTCAAGCGCTAATGTTTCACAATTCTAAAATGCCTGGCAGTGGCCCACCAGTGTGAGAAGAACAGCCCTGAATGCCTTTGGCCATAGGCCCTCCTTTCTGAGCCCCTCCCTACACTTAGGGTTACCTCAGCGAAGGTACGTTCCACATCTTCAATCAACTGGTTGCGGCTATAGTCGTAGCCATCTGCTCCCTCTGCTTCATAATCGCTTCTCCAGTAATCCCCATAGTCCTCATAATCTGTTTTGTTTTGTTTTAAGAGAAAGAGGAGAGCAGGGGGGAAGGAAAGGAGACAAAATACAGTTTCCAGTCTTGCTGAAAGGTTAAAAAAAAAATTGAACGGGACTGTCGCATTTCACTGCCTTTACAGACATCAACTCGAGGGGATCCAAATGAATACTAACACTAGATAACTCTGTTCAGCACTTGTTCCATACTAGGGGTGTAACTATATCATCTCGTTCAGTATGGACAAAAGCTGTACACGACAGTCATCATTAAAACCTCCACTGTGCACGTTAACAGCTTGTGCTTGTTTTTTAAAACAAATCTTCTTTTTGTATACTTAAGGTGGATGCCATGATGTTATGAACTCCATATAATGTAGTAAAGTGTGTATTATAATGAAATAAATTAACATATCCATCATCTCACATAGTTGCCCATCCCCCCGTGGCAGAATAGCTATAATTTATTCATTTAGAAAAAAACAAATACACTAAGCAATTATTAACTACTCCCTTCACGCTGTACAGAGATCTTTAGACTTGTTCATCTTGCATATGTGCTACTTTGTACACTTTGACCTGTATTTCCCCATTTCCTCCAACTCTACCCTCATTACCACAATTTTATCCCTTTTTTCTGTATGTTTGACCCGTTTTTATAGATTCCTCATATAAGTGCAATCAGGCAATGTTTTCTTTCTCTGTTAAGCTTATTTAACTTAACATAATGCCCTCCAGGTCCTTCCATATTGTGGCAAATGGCAGGAATCTCCTCCTTTTATAGCTGAATAATATTCTGATATGTATATTCCACAGTTTCTTTATCTGTTTGTCCTTTGATGGACACCTAGGTTGTTTCCACATCTTGGTTATTGTATATAATGTTACAAGGAACTTCAGTATGTGAGTATCTTTGTGAGGTGAAAAGTTCCTTTCCTTTGAGTAGACACCCAAAAGAGAATTGCTGGGTCATACGGTAGGCCTAGATTTAATTTATTTAGAAGCCTCCATACTGTTTTCCCTAATGGCTACCACCAATCTACATTCCTACCAACAGCCTATGCTTACTGCAGTTAAATCACATGTCCAAGGTCATACAATTGATAAGGGACAAAGTAACACTCCTGGTTTCTTAGCCCTGAGTCTCTACTCATACCATAGATCAGTTTGCATCATTAGCTTCCAAACATGCAATTGAGTCTCGAAGGATTTTTAATTCTCACTCTATTCAAGACCTCATATTTTGGTATGACCCAATTTATCTTAGACATTATTACAAAGGACCCATGTTCATTTGCAAGTCGTGTGTATGCACAGCACATGTGTATGTGCTTCATTTCGTATCTAACCATCCAGAAACACAAGCTTGTGTTAGGGTACAAGCTGATAAAGTTGGGAAATTCATTTTAACCATTTTTGTTTTTATACCACATTGCCAATGGATGGTCAGAAAGATAAGAGAAAAATAAATATTTGGATGGAAGGATAGGCAGAGTATTATTTTTAATTCATTATAAACTACAGTCTGTAGCTTGCCTACAGCTTGAGAATGTAAGTTTAAATGGCAGCAAAAGAAATTAGAAACAGCAAATGAAAAAGAAAAGAAAAAACTTTTTTTTTCTTTACTCAGCCTCAAGGGGCAGTGAATCGCCAAAGCATAAAGTATTCATAATGCCAGGACTTCATCTCATTATTAAGAAAAGTAAGCTAAGAGATATGAAAATTCCTTCCTATGTTAAGATTTTTATGACTACCTGACTTGACTTAGAATTGCAACTTCGGTAATAAAGACTTTACAGCTTAAGCTAAACTGATTTTTTTTCTTTCTGAGACATCACTCTGAGGTAGACACACAAATAATTTGAGATTCAACTGTGGCCACGTGAAGGTTTGGGTAAGAGAGTGTCTCTGCCTCTCATCTTGTGGGAGGAATAGGTTCTCCCACTCAATCCCCAGATTCCCTCAGGAACCCTTTGGAGGCCTGAGACCTCCCTGAACAACTCCTAATTCATAATTCTTGGAAAATTCATTTGTGGCCTTGTAATTGAATCTCATTCCAGAGCTCTAAACTTTACAGTTCTAATGCAACTTTTTTTATGCCTTTTTTGAGAAAGGTAACCTGACTGTTTCAGTGAGTGATTGTTAATGGAAGGGTATTTTCCTTCATATTAAAGAGCAGGCTCGGCCATGCATGAGAAATAGTCCCGTGTTCTAGAAGAGAGAGAGCCTCAGGACCCCAACAGAATGAGACACTTACTGTTTGCTCTTGCCATCTCGTTTTTCAGGGCCACATACTGTTCGTATAGTGGCCTCAGCTGCTTGCCGACCTCAGACCTCCAGCCTTCCCATACCCAGAGCCTCTCACTGTAGTCTGTGCTCTTCGCCATTATGTCATCCAAACCTATTATCCCACACCACCCACAGGAAAATAAACATGCGTTTATAAAAATTATAAACAAGTATATGAATCTTAAATAATTAAAAGGAAGGTTGGCATAAAGTTATCCAATAAAATCTAATTATTAATTAATTCCACCACCCTTACTCTGGGCACAATATGCCTGCAAAGAAAATCTACTGAAATAATTGAATCACTACCTTAAATTACTTCAATGTAATATAATTTACACTAATGTTTCTTTTTAAGTTAAAAGAGCCCCTATGTGCTGAAACACACTTATTTGGAACTCTACCATCTTTGAACTATCCATCTGAAAAGCACAAAGTCATCAGCCAAAGTCACTTTCTAAAACTTGGAGAATAAAAGAATATTTCAGAATCATCACTCAAAATTAAGTATACCTGGTTCAAGCAGTAAGCATTCCTGTGGTTTATTTGGGTTACAAACTTTTCCAGTACTATAGATGGTGCTCATCATATTTAGAATTGTGTTCAGCTGCAAATTAAAGATAATAAATAATATTAGAAATGGAAAATATGCTAGAGAGAATGTTAACAAAAATATCCTTTTGGTCATGTGATTTTTTGGGGTGCTTCAAAAACAGAATTGATATCCTCTCTGCCAAGTATTTTCCTATACATAGAGAAGGAATATATTTAAGTTTCCCCACTGCAAACTAGCACAAAGGCTTATAAGCATATAGTAACTACATATGGAGTAACAGAGCTGAACAGCTTTGCCAAAACCCCAAGAAGTTTCCTCACTAAGCATTCCAAAAGAAGTGCAGGTGCCGTAACTGTCGCTAAAAAGTGAAGTAGAAGTATTGTCTTGGGGCAGGGGAGAAGAAGACTTATAACCTGGAGATTCAGGAATGACTTCAAAGAGGAGAGGACATTAGAGCTGTGTCTCTCAAAAGTAGGAATTGGGGGCCGGGGATTTAGCTTAGTGCTTCCGCCTCCTGCCTGGCAAGCACAAGGACCTGAGTCAGATCCCCGGTACCAAAAAAAAAAAAGTAGGAATTGGTCAGGTAAGTAGAGGACACGGTCTAAAAGTGGGAGGAGGTTGGAAAAGACAAGGCATTTTCAAGAGGTGATGGGATGTTGTATAAAACTAGAATGACGATATTCACTGAGGGAATGGAGGACACGAGAATGGAGAGTTAAGCAAGGGACAGATCACAAGGACCATCTATGCAGCCATAAAATTTCAACTTTGTGGAGTAGGAGAGGAGGAGTGCAGGTGACAGAGTGAAGTAGTGCTACTCATGCTGTGGTCCATGGGTCAGTGCAAGTAAGCAAAAGTTTTGTTTCCATTCTGTTACAAGTATGGGAATCGAAAGAATAAATGTTTATGAACTCTAAAAAACAATTCAATATTTCGTGACATCTAAGCATGTGATCAATGAAATTAAACAAGTATTGATCTGCAATGGATTAAAAACAAAGGAAGGAAGAAAATGAAGAGGAAGGAAAGAAAGAAGGGAGTGAAAGAGAGGGAGGGACTGATTTCCTTCCACAGATGATTTAAGAAACAAACACTGGTTTGAAAGTCCTGTTTGTTCTCCTAATTCTTCTTCATTATTCTTTCACTCTGCTGCAGAGTCATCATCCTAAAAGATGAAATTAATACCATGCTTAAAACTCCCACAGCATCCCATGGCCCAAGGAATAAACCTAAATTCCTTACCCTGGCACAAAACCCTGTGTAACCTCTTTCTCTACCAACATCTTCCGTGTCCCTCCTTCCTCTCTATTAAATCCATGCATCCTCCAGTATCCCCTGTTCCCAAACACTTCAAGCTCTTACTCTCATTTAATGTGTAGCTTTTAATCCTAGTATGCTTTACAGTTATCTAGGGATCTTTTAAAAATGGAGTGTTGAGGTTTTACCTAGGCTAGACTAGGCTGTCTAGATTCAAATGGGCACAGCTTCTCATGGTGACCTTGTGAAAATTATGGAAAACCAAGAAGTGGATAAGATAAAGTGGGTTAATAGCTAGTGAGATAATTGAATCCAAAGAATGCAGAATAATAAATATCGACTTGTCTAAATAAATGCCATATGGCTTTATCTCTGTCCTTATCAGAAATTTTTATTTTTATAAATGTGGATTAGGACATACAGAGTTCCAGAAGACAAACAGCTGAGAAGGAAGAATTTGATGTTAAACAACTAAATATTTCAGATAGAAATATTTCAATAGACTCTGTCAGGGGTCTGCAAACTGGTCTGCAGAAAATCCTGCCTGCTGCCTGTTTTTGTACAACTTTATTGGAACACAGCCACATTCATTCCTTAATGTATTAGCTATGGCTGGTTTCCTGCTACAATGGCAGAGTTAACTAATGTGACACAAACAATATGGTCTGCAAAACATAAAATATTTATTATTTGTTTCTTTATAGAAAGAAAGTTTACTGGCTCCTGGGCTACAGAGCTAGGCAAAGGATGTTATTTTAGCAGGAATCAATATAGGCTTTCTTTAATTTGGACAAACTAAGAATAGAAATTTTCAAAGAGCCATTTTAGAACAACGCTGATGGGAGAGATTTAAGGACGTCTTTGGCAGTGAGAGTTACATTAGCCAATCATGGCATTTGGCTATCAAAAACTACATCAATTGGGCCCAGGATTTAGCTCAGTGGCGCGGCGCCTGCAGTGAAGCAAGTAACCATGGACTGAAACTTCTGAACCATGAGCCCAAATAAATCTTTCCTCTTTAAATTGATTTTCTTGGGTATTTTGTCAGAGCAACAGAAGAATAAAATTCTGTGCTAACCCCACATAGGCACAGAGATCCTGCTAATGTCAGCATTGCTATCTTTACAGATGAAGGAAGCAGCCATAAGTGATATTAATGTTTAATATCTTCCATACATTTCAACACTTGGGATCAGTACTAAACCATTCACAAACATACCTGTTTGTTCTTGTCTGCAGAAAGCGCTGAAGACCAACTTTGCTGAAGAACCTGTAGCTGACGCTTGACTGTGAGATTCTGAATTTCTTGTAGTGGATAAGCTTTGGCAAGCTTTGACTGTTCTTCATAAAAGACAGACCAAATGGCCCCAGCCTCATTCTGAAATGGCAAAACATAAAATTGAAATTAGAATGGCATGGCTTTAATGAAGAAAAGACACAGTACAAAGAACCACTGGTCAAACATCTATTATTTCCAGAGTGGTTTAGTCCCTGTTTGGAGGAAGGGCAAGGTTTAGGTTAAGAGTGACCAGGCCACTTTTGGCTACTCTCTCTTTCCGGCCTAATGCTTAGTTTTCCCAAGGGTCCTGTCCCCGGAACTGGATGTCATTTCTCACAGATAGTTCATACTGTGAGACCCTGGAATTTATGGCCTTTGTGCTGTGACGTGAGTGAGCTGGCCAAGGATTCAAAGAAGAATGCTCTAAAAGGAGAACCCAGTAGAATCCAGAGTGGACAGGATGGGAATACAGTCCCTCATGACCATGAGAAGTAATCACCAGATCATAGTAAGCTCCTATGTGCCATTACTTAGTACACATATTCTGAGCTTAAATTGTGGTCCCAAAAGGCTTCCCAAGGCATAGCAATTAGCAGTCATGGTGATTTTTCTACCAGCAAAAGAAATCAATAAGCAAGTGATGACACCATGACACATTCCCCCATCGTGAATATTAGTAGGAAAGTGAATGTCTCCAGACTTCTCCAGTGCAGTCTTCTCTCATTGCACACATTTATTTCCACTTATCAGAGCCTAAAATGAACAAGTACTTTGTACAGCACACTGCTCTAAGGCCATACAAAAGAGATAGTATATGAAACAATAAGAACTTCATTCCTGCAGTCAGACATCTCTGACGAGCTTGTGACCTTGGGCAAATTAGCCTCTCTGACCCACAGTTACCTTATCTGCAAAATAATAATAAGACATACATAAAAGGGTTATTGTGAGAATTAGAAGAATTCACAAATATTAAAATGCTAATCAGAGTGACTGACGATCTTAAGATTCAATAAATGCCATTTTATTACTTATAGAGAAAAGGCTCTTGTCCTCGAGTTGCTTAAAATTCCATTCAATGGATAGGATATGCATCGTGAGTATTTCTTTAATGAGACATGCATACATAATACTCAGTAAACTGTGAGTGGGCCAGTCAGTTTCAGTTATGAAACAAAAGAAACTCATGCAGGTGACCATATTTGGCCAAGTCCTCATAGAGGAGGGACTTAAAGTAGCTAAGAGTTGGAGGGCATGGAATACTTCACAAAATAACCTACCTTATTTGAGCTTTTTAACAACTCCATGAGATAGAAGACCACTCTATCTCCATTTTATATGTGCAGAAAGGGGCCTAGAGAAATACTGGAGCTGGCAATCATCCACCAGCATTCAATCCTGGACCTGTGGCTGACTGACTCTAACATGGCTGCCATGGTCCCTACCTTCTGGTGGTCAAGCTCTCGGGTGGTCCTCTCCTCTTGAGTAAGAACATACTTGTGACTTGCTTCTAACCAATATCATACAGCAAAGGTGATGGGATGTACATATTCACATCACATATGATTGCAATTTTTATCCTGCCAGAAGATTCTCTCCCTTGCTAATTTTGATGCAGGCAAGATGTCATGGTATGTATATTCTGTGGAAAAGCAAGACGGCCCGGAATTGAGGGGGGCTTTTGATAGCATCCTGTAGTAAAGCAACGACCTCAGTACAGCACCACACACAGATCTGAATGTAACACTAGCCAGGTTATCTTGGAGTGGACCCATCCCTAGTCAAGCATCAGACAAGCCCATAGTGCTAGCTGCCACCTTGAGTGCAGCCTTACGAGACTTCTAGGATGCAATGAAACTGTGCCTGGACTCCTGACCTGCAAAAACTTTGAGATAATAAATATGTGTTATTTCAAGCCATTAGCCTTGTGGTAACTTTTTTTCCAATAGGTAACTAGTGCAGCCCTCAAAGGCAGGACAGTAGGCATGATCACACTTTCCAGGCCAAGGAATTTTACTTCTATCCTTTGAGCCTGAGGGGGTCAGTGAAAGGCTCTGAACACGCATGTGACATGATGAAAATGGTGCACAGGGGGCCGGGGATTTACCTCAGCTGTTCGGTGGCCTGCCTTGCAAGCGCAAGGACCTGAGTTCAATCCCCAGTACCAAAAAGAAGAAAGAAAATGGTGCACAGAAGTCAAAGCAATGGACCAGAAAAGAGATGAAGAAAATGGTGGTAGTGCAAAAAGAAAAAAGATTTCTGTGTTCACTAAACATTCGCAGTGCCTCAGGAACTGCTTCTCAGTTCATGGTCACATACAACACTTTTGAGGGAGCTGCCGCCTTTATTTCAGAAATGGTGGGAATGAGACACAGCAAAGTAGCTTTTCCCGGGTCACATAGCTAGTAACTGGAAGAACCAAGGCATCAGGCCAGGTGTGCTCATCCTACACTGAACCACTGTCCTTTCCACTGTACCTGACACATTGCGGCCCCCTCTCTAATGTGGGTGGGTGGGTTATTGAAAGAGGACTCTGAGGGACCGGGGATTTAGCTCAGTGGCACCGCGCCCGCCTCATAAGCACAAGGTCCTGAGTTTGATCCGCGGTATCGGAAAAAACAAACAAAAAAACAAACAAACAAGCTGCGCAACCCACCACTCACTTAGCAATTCCTACCTTTCTTCATCCAGCCCAGGAGAATTTATTGTCAAGTAACATTTCTGGTAAAATTTCGAAGCCAAATTATATAAACAAATGTACTCTCAATCTCTTCTGGAAACAGCACAATCCCCCAAAGTCCTCAGTCTTAAGAACGTTTTTTTTTTGTTGTTATACTGCATGTAGGAACTTTGAGTCTATCTGATTTGATCTGATTTGTCACTGTCACTCTACAAGTGTTATACTTTTATCACCAAAAATATTGTGTTGCCTTGCATTCTGGCTCCTGAAGACATACTGTTCCTTCCCAAGCTATTCTCTGTAATATTATTTATGATGTATTTCATGTCCTTATGCTGAAATGCCTGAGCCTAAATAAAGCAAATAACTTCTATTAGGCACAGAATCACAGACAGTTCATGCATACCAGTCAGATAGTCTAGGTAGTGGCCCATAGCTGTACGTAGTTTATAGACCTGAATGATGCATGAAATGAAACATATATAGCAGTTTACATAGCTCCAGGTCTTGAAAGGAACCTATTATGGGTAAAATAGGTTCCAGTCCACCCCACCTCTGTGCAAAGGCAGGAGAGAAGCAACTAAAACAATAAAAGTTTTCTGCAGCCACATTGGCGGGGGAGGAAGGTGTCGGGGGACAAGACACATTGCTGAGGATAACCACAAAAAAATTAAAACACTCTCTGATCGCTGTCTATAATCTGTAGTGGACACCATATTTCCATCCTATGAAAAATCTTTGCAACTTCAAAGATTGGAAAGGTAAAATGCTACATTATATTTTATAAATGTTCAAAAATATATCCTGCTCTATTTTGGCCCTAGCTACATGCATAAATTAAATCCAATCATTTCATTATGAGTTTAAATGTCTTCATATGAGCTTTCGCATTTAACCCATAGGTCTGGGGGTCTCTACCAAAGTTAAAACCATTTTATTTAAACAATTACTATGCTTTTTAATAAAGAAAAGATTTATTTATCCCACGGTTTTTCCTACTGAAAGACATTTCCACATTGGAAATGTCACAACAGGGTAGATGGTACCATGATGTGAAATCTTTTCTGAAGGAGTTGCCTGGAAGGGAACATACTCATGCTATACCTTACTCTCAAGAAACCTGGGACCTCATAAGAAAAATACTGATCTCTGTGAGAGCAGTTTCTGCACTGACACAGCCACATTCCAATGGGCCCCACCTCTAAAAAGCTGCAGTCTCTTAACAGCACCACAGTGGGGACCAGGCCTCCATCTCAGGATCCCTTGGGAAGTAACCACATTCAAACCATAGCACTTGTTAAGAAGAATGGGTCGTGGTCATTTCAAAATGCTAAAAATACTCTTGAGTATGCGTTGAGAGCTTTTTTTTAGGGTTTGTTGATTTTTTAATATTTATTGAGTTTATTTGGTATATTTTAGGTATACATTATGATCACATTTATCATTGGGAATTTGTACCTGCACATGATGTATCTTGGTTCTTATTTTTTCCCATTCCCCTGCCCTCCCCTCCTCCACCCTTCCCTATTTATATAAGCTTTGTTTCCTTTTTTCTTCTTTTTTCATTTTATCCCTTCTTTTTTCATTTTTTAATTGTTATGCTTTTGTCATAAGTTGTTTGAGATTTTTTCTTATTCTATAGCTCACTATCCCCTGAACCTATCTGCACTTGCAGTGACCTCTAAACTATTTCTTTCCCTTTATGAGTGACAGTTCACTGAAGACAAAAGATGAAAATCTGGGTGGCATCTTCACATCCATCCAGTACCTTGAGCCAAAACTCTTCTAAGAAAACCTCTACCCATATTCTAACCCATTTTCCAGGGATGGCTCTCAAGGCCACATCAAGTTCAAAGATGAAACTACTCTTAAGTACTTTCATGCTGAGCTATTTTTTTAAATGCTCATTCTATACAACAAAGTAGGCAGTCTAAGTTTTATGAACATGAATTCCATCACTCCACTTTAAGGTTCAAAAATTATTTTTTCCTATATTTTAGGTGGGAAGTTTCATATATTAAATTTTGAAACATAATAACCTTGATATTTTTGCTGAATTTTATGCTATGAGAAAATGGTGCTCAGTCTGGATTTCCATTTTACTTGCATGATGATGCTTTTTTCTCTCTCCCCTCCTGTACTTGTATTATGTGCATCATGAAGTACGAATGGGCCTATAAAAGACATGGGTCAAGTCAGTATTCTCTCTTTGGATAGAAAATAGCAGGTTAGAATTGCCTTGCTGTGAGTTCCCTGTAACCCCAGCCCCAGTGACACAGGAATTGGGTGTGGCTGAAGACTACAGGCCCAGGAAATAAGACCCTGAAAAGCCCTAAAGACTACCCAAAGCAGAAGTGTGGGCCTCCTGCTCCTGATAACTCATGAAAAAACACTTCCAAAGTGCTCTTGGAGACCTTTT